CACATCCCTTCAAGACTGAAATATTATTTTTTTAGCTTCACTTGCTCTCAGGCCAGGAAGGCATTGGTTTTGCTCAGCTGGCCAGGACCGGATTGTGGAAAGAGTCAAGCGCGGGTCTAGGAAGCTGGATGGCGGCAGTCACAAGTCCCCTCCCCCACACTGGGAGGCTGACCCACACGGGCCTAGGCTTTCTTACCCCTGTTTCCCCGTCCTTTCCCCCTCACTAATTCCCAAGATCTCTGTAGAGGTCGTGGAGATCAGACCATGGCGCAGGACACAAAAGGTCGAGGGTTCCTGGGAGCCTCCGGTATTCACAGCCCTGAGAGGGTCCTGGCTGGGACAATGCCTCAGCCCAGCCTCCCGGCCACAAAGCGAGCCGCCCAGAGCCGTTAATGTCCCCAACAACGCCCGTACCCATCCCAAAATACCAAAAGCATCCGCAGCACTACCAAGGCCGACCAGCACTCCCCAGCCAGGCTACGGTGCGGTGCGCTTTGGGAGTTGGGCATCTAGGCTTGGGAGCGGGTGGGCACTTCCTCCTCATTTCTCCGCTTCCACATATTTACTTGATCCCTAAAATCTGTCGATCCTGGCTTGGTGCAAACCATTTGGACCACTAATCCCTTTACTCCAGATCAGTAAGACTCTCGGTTTCCAGCAGGAACGCGCGGTGCCTGGTACCTAGGAAAGCCCGAGGTCTGCTGACTTCGATGGACAACTAAAGAACTGGGTAGAAACTGAGTGGGGTAGGACCCAGGCGGGCAGAGGCACGGTGAGGCTCGGCAGGTGAACTGCGGCACACACCTAGTTCTACCATGTACAGGGCCCTGGCAATTCTTATACTGACCCCTCTTCTTTAAAGCAGTCCAGCCTGGAGCGTTGCGGTGCAACGAAGACGCAAAAGGACTTCGGCTTTAAAAGTCAGTGCTGCTGATTTTGGGGGCTACCCAGATGTCTGGGGGGCACAGCTTCTTTAACTGCAAATCAGGCGGATTTTAGGAACCAAACCATTAGTCAGAAATGAAATAAATAAGCTCTTGTTCAAACAGCTCTGAGTCGGAAGTTTTCCTGGAGAGTACGCGACCGCCCCACCTGGCGGGGGGGGGGTGTCTCAGATAAATAGGGGGTGGGAGAAAATTCGGGTTTCCTTTGGGGAAAGGGAGGTAGACGCTCAAAGGTGATCCTAGGAGTGGCTGGGATGGGGTCGGGGGGAGGGGTCAGAGGACTCTGCACTCTCCTGGGCCGCTCCACCTGCTTCTCTGAACGCCCCACCTGCTTCTCTGAACGCTCCGCCCCGGGCCCACTTGGTCCTCTTAACTAGCTGCCAGCTCGAATGGCACAGAAGCACACCCAGGTACCCCAGATAGATGAGAGTAAAGAGATCTCCAAAATGCTGCCAGAGAAAAACGTCCCCAGACCAGTCCACTTTATGCTAGCTGCTCATCCTGTCCTTCATCCATCCTCCCTCTTTCCTCATCATCCCGTACATCTCCATCTCCTCTCATTCTCGAGGCCGTTTCTCCAAGTTCTGAGGTTCCCAGAAGTCCAGCCTTATGGCAAGCAAAGAGGAGTACTCGAGAGAAGTCCTACAGATCACCATCCCATTCTCCCTGGGGAAGTCTCCTCGAGTCGCTAGTCCAGGACATCTGTCTCTCCCTTATAATCTGTGCGCTCAGGAAGAACTGCCATCGTGGGCACTCCGCCTCAGACCCACCTGGAGATAATTCCAAAGGTGGGTCTTTCCTGTTGGTTTGACATGTGTCCTGTGGCAAGAGTTACCCCCTGAACTGGGCAAGACGGCCAGGTCCTATATCTGGGGGCCTCAAGCATACCCTCAACCCTTGGAAGGTTCTGTTCTGCGCCCTGCCAGCACCAAGCTTGGTGATACACTAGTGGTTAGTCACTCTTGATCCCTTCTGCCCCACCCCACTCTTGTCTCCTTTGCTAGGATTCACCCGACCACCCTCTCAGTGCCACGACGGGGCTGGCCATCCCTGGTTACCTGCAGCAGGGAGGACGCTGGGTTCCCAAGAAAGCAGGAGGTGGGGGTGTGCGCCCGGCTAAGCAGCTTCGGGGCGAAGCGGCCGTTGGCGACAGCGCCATCATCGCAACCAACCGCTTCCCTGCATTGGAGCCACTGCTGAGCGGGGCCATCCTGCTTCTGACCACAAACTTCTCAGGAGGCGGGTGGAAACAAAGGTACCGCGCGTCCCAGCGGCGGCGGCGGCGCGGTAGCTCTTGCTCGGAGCCGGAGGGTGCAGCCAGTTCTGCGAGGCCTCTCGGCGCGGCCCGGCGTGCTCCGCCTCAACCCGGCCCCCTGACTAGGCGCACCGGGTCCCGACGCTGCGTGGGCGGGTGCAGGGCCGGGCTCGGGACGGTCCCCGCAAGGCGGCCGGCCGCGCGCGCAGCTCCAACCGGCGCGGGCGCCGCGCCCCGCCTTATATCCGGCCCCGCGCGCACCCGGCCGGCGGCGGCGGCGCGGCTCGCGGCCCAGCCACCGGTTGCTATAGCGATGTCGTGGGCCCCCCCCCCCACATGTTGCTGACAGCAATTGGCTAAGGGGCCGCGGCTCTCCATACACCCTCATCCGTCCAAGACTATGAATGGACATAAGCTTTGTCAGTCATTGGTACCCAGCCGGAGCCAGGGCCTTCACCGGTTCTTTCTTTCAGTCTTTTCTTTCATTCGTGAGTAGCACTTCATTCTGGCCAAGTTCAGAGTAGCGCTAGGATGAGGGAATGAGGCCTCAGCTAGAAAAGTCGCCCCTCATGGCCCTACTATGACCTTTGCTTATGACAGAGGAAGTGTTTCGTAGAAACTCTCCAAGAGAAAAAGAATTACGGTAAACCAAGTTCTTTCCCTCCTTTCCAAACAGAAGCATGTTAATTACTTAAGGGACCTTCCCCACCACCGCCACCACACACACACATGTACACTGTTCACGAACCCCAGTTTCTAAGACCCAGATGCTCATAGGGAGTAGTCTGTTGAAAGCAGGTGCTAATGAGACTTTGCCACCATTTGTCCAGGCCAATTGCGGGGCTGCTAGCCCAATATGTTGGACAGCAGTGAAAAGCATTTCTTTCTTCATCTTTAAGCTCTTATCTCCACCCTAGACGACCGCCCTCCCCCCGGGCGCCTGAGTGGAGGGTACAGGGCTACCCTTCCAGTCGCTGGAGCCTACCCAATTACTTGACCTGAGCGCAGACCTGAGGTGGAACTCAGGGATTCATGCTAGCCAAGAGGTCTCTAGAGTCCTCCTCTTGGTTCCGACTCTCCGCGTGAGGCTCCCAGACTCTTCCATACCATCAATTTTCCTCCCCAACCCCTGTTTGCTCCTGGGCCCTGGCCACAGGTTGGACACCCTGGTGCGCTGCACTCCTACAGAGCGGCCAGGAGGCTAAGAGCGAAACCCAACATCTGTGCGTACAATACGCTCTTCAGGGCCCACAGCTGCAGGAACAAGGGGAAGAAAGGAAAGTGTGGGGGAGCAGATTCTGTCATACGCAGATGACAGTCTGCGGAGGGCTCTTTTTCAGGAAACCCCGGCGCACCCCCCTCATCCCTTCTCCTGTCGCCTTCCCATTGTTCCCGACACTTGGGACAGCTGGAGATGAAGGCTTGCACAGTCGACACCCCCCACTCCCACCCTGCCGCCGCACACCCGGAGGCCGCAGAGCCAACTCCTGGACCCTGGAACGAAGTCCGCAGCCCTCGCTGCAGGCCAGGCCAGGAAAGACTGGTACCGCCTTGCCTTTTCATCACCTGGGCAAAGCCCCAGATCTGCCTAATGCAAGAGCTCCACAGCCTGGAGAGGACTAAGCTCTCCAAAAGAGGGCCCAATGCTACCAAGTGTTGCTTCCCAAGGATGACGGCCTCTGGTCGCCGGATTAAACTCTTTTGTTTAGTTTTAATTTACAGGGTCTGAAGGAGAGATCCCAGCGATCTGCGATGGTGGCGCAACCTGCACCAATCCTGTAGGCCTGAGTAGTTTGCAAGAGGCAGCTGATGACTTCATGGGAAAGATGAGTTTGAGGGGTGGCAAAGAGGATAAACTGGGCTTTCCCCAATAGTCTCCTGGGCTATGGAATGCTCCTATGCCAGAGGATAGGCCCTGAAGACCCTTCACTCCCGCCTTAAAATTGGTTGATGCATGGTGACCCTGAGGCCCTCCATCAGGTTTGCTAGAGTGGTTCTTCTCTGTTGCGCTCTCAGCAGGCCCAGGACTCTGCAGGGCGCTGAGGCCAGTTGGCTAAAGGTCTGTCTTGGCAAAGACCAGGACGGAGGTGATTCTCAAATCCTACAATCATTCTCAGGGCCCAGCCTACTTGAGTGTCTAGTGTCTTGTTGTTCCCAAGAAGCCTCCAAAGCTACCCTTGGTTCAGCCTTGGGCTGAGAACAGGGAAGAAGGAAGAGTGCCCTGCAGGCTGGTACTCTGTCATAGGAGAACACAGGACCTGGAGTTTGAGCCCGCCCGGAGGAGGGGACCTGCCGCCCTCAGCCTCTCTAGCAACCGGGCCTCTCCATAGCAACAGCCTATGTGTAAGCTTGCCGCCAGCCACCACCACCTCCTCCTCTTCCTCCTCCTCGTCCTCTTCTTCCTCCTCTCCCTCCTCCTCCTTCTCTTCTCTCCCCCACCCCTTCTCTGCCCTCCTTCCCCCGCCCGCACTAGATTTGGAGAATGGATCATAGAATACTGGGACCGGGAACACAGACTTCTCTTTATGACAAGAAACTCAGCCTCCAGGTACTTTGTGTACACTTAGGGTGAAGGGATCCATCACTCAGCACAAGTGCGAGGGCGCGCCCTGCCCCATGTTCACCCTTTGCTATGCCAGAGTTCCTGCCTCTCCTACTGCAGCCACAGAGTCTTAAAGACTTCAGGAGTGCAGCGGGGAACACTGGGGTCTGGCAGCCTAAGGCGAGGCGCTGGCAATACATGCCCCGAGATCTGGGCGGGGCAGCGGAGTCGGGGGCGCGCAGAGCCTACGGGAGTTCGCGGCCCCGTTGTACTCCAGCCCCAGAGCCAGCATTGCAAACTCAGCGGGAGGCAGTGCACTGAGAGGAGCCTAAAGGCCACGAGGCGCCTGGCACATCCCAGGATGCGGCTCAGAGCCATCCTTCTGTCACATCTCACTTGCTTTTCTCGCTTTTCACAGTCGCGAGACACAAGCAGGTGTGGGATACATCCCCTCTGCTCCAAGTGGCAGGGACCCCTCGCGGTCACTTCGGAAGAACAGCCAGAGAAGGCCAGGGCCCAGGGCAGATGCAGACCAGAGCAGGGCGCGCTGTCCGGCAGGCAGGCAGCCAGCTTGGTTTTCCACAAGCACCAAGAGACATGGAAATTGTAAGTACAGGCGTTTGTTTTATTTTAGTTTTCTTGTGTCCCAAAGGGCTCCTTTACCTACCCTATCTAAAACCCACGCTCCAGATTTAATCAGAATCCAATAGCCTGCCTGCCTTTCTCTGTTCTTTGAGGAAGGATGGGTGCAGAAATGTAGTGAGTTGCATTTTGGTCACCTTTTCAATGGTGGAATGTCCTTAAGTCACCTTGCAGTTGTTTCAATGTAGAAAAGTGTATTTTCTCACTGGTGACCCTTAAAACTTCCCGTGCCTCAGACTGCCTTTGCAGGCACTGAAGTGGAGAGCCCTAGACTCACGTTCTGGCTGCAGAGGACACTGATCAGGTCCACTCTGGAAGCCAGACACACTTGCTGTCCAGGGGCTTAGGAAAGAAAGAGTTTGTACTTTATATGACGACTCTTTTTGCCTAGAATCTGATAAATCGAACCACCGGGTTCTTGTTTTCCCTCTTTCCTTTTAAATTCTTGTTTTTAGGGCAAGGAAAGTCCTTTACAAAAGTTTCTCAACAATGATAATTCAGCAGTCTTCAGGAAGGATAGGAATTTTTTTTTCTCCCTGAGTCATGAAAGCATAGCTCTCATTTCAGTGTACGTGTTTCAGTAACATTTCTAGAAAAAAAATAAACAATACAAAATATGTATGAGAAATATATTGCTTGAATTTTTTTATAGATGACAAACAGGTATATTATTAATATAGAAGTTACAAAAGGTTAGCTGATGCATGAATAGAAAGTCCGGTATATGGGTATATGGAAAAACCCCCAAACTTACAAAATTTCCAAACAATATAAATAGCTTTAAATGATTTGTTGGTCTCTGCTAGTTCTTTGTTGTTTAAAGTACATTTTTACATTTGCCATGTGTGAAGCTAACTTGATGAGATAAGAATCTCATTTTCAATTCAGGGACCAATGTAGCCTTAAAGAGCACTCAGCTAAGTGATTACAGTCACTCTCCAGCACATGGACTTATTAAAGAAAATGTAGCTTTAAGGAAAACATAGAAAGGTTGTTATGGAAGACACAGTTTTGGCAAGGCTAAACACTACCTCAGGAAGTTTAAGTGGCATGGTAAAAGTAGACAACAAATTTTAAAAGTGTCTGATTTCAGGAAACTAAACCAATTGTGTTTTTAAAAAGCAGACACTAATTTATATGTATAGCACACATATCATATTTAACATGCTTTTGATTTAGGAATCCAGTTATTAAAAAACAAATTTAAATTATTAATTAAAAGTGGAACCACAGTCTTAATTTTCTTTTGTAGCACATTTCTCACATCTGTGAAAGAGAATGACATTTTGTGATAGATATGCCTTAGTGGTTTTGGGGGTGGGGGCAGGGGAAGAACACCTGGCTGGGTCAATTTCCCATGAAGCCATAGTGCTTTGCACTGCAAATTTCTTTAAAAAAAAAAAACACAGGTCAGCCTGGGGGCTGCAAACCCTTGTCAGGGGAGTTCATTTTGTTTCAAGGACCATCTTTTTGAGAACAGCAGATCTGCCGTGAGGGCTAGCCACCATACAGAATAATCACAGTCAGTTCAAGAACAGGTGCTCCATGGGGTTTGAGTCCTGCTGCTTTGCCTTTGGGGTAGCTGTCAGGTATGGTTCTTAAGGCAGTAGCCTATCTTAAAATGGAAAAGAACTGACACATCCTGAAATTATTCACTCAAATATTTTACTTGACTTTAAGGGAAAACAAATGTATCTTTCATCAATACAGAAAATGGAAATCATATTTTGGGGGAAGGGGGAGAATTGCTAGCACAACTCGGCCTTTATTATTAGTTCTAGTGCTGGCTCCTATTCACATTGGTCTAAAGTTTTGTAAAGGAAAAAAAAAATAGGAACTTTGAATAAGGCCTGTTCCCTCAGTGGCTTAACACAAATACATTAAGCTGTGTCCTTAAAAATAAAAAGTACTGGCTGTTGAGGTGGAGGTGGCTCAGTGGGTAAAGTTGTTTTCTGCCAAGCCTGGGTGGAAAGAGAGACCCACATGCTACAAGTTGTCCTTTGGCTTCCTCACGGTGCAGCATGCACGCATCTGTCCCCCTCCCCCCACAACAAACAAGTGTGAAAGTTATTTAAATAAAAAATATGGTTCATCAAAAAAATTATTCCTGATAGGTTGGTTAACAAATATGTAGTGATTTTGTAGACTTTTCTTTCTAGAAACTTTGAAATTATAATTCAAAGGACATGACAAGCCCCGGGCCTTCCTTATTGCTGTTATTAGATTTGCCCATTAAACGCAGTGTTCTAAAGGATGTGTGCTCTTGGGGCAGGCATCTACAAACAGAATAGTCTCCCTGGAGGTTCATCTGGTTTTACTCTGAGATTCCAGAGAGTCTACAAGATGAATGAGTTTCTATCTCTCTTCTTGGGAAGATCTAGCCACTTATTAGTCACATATAATGCTATAAATGCATATTTAATGGTTGGTATTCAGGATAGTGTATTTACTGTATGTTTACAATTAGATTTTTATTCCTCACAAATTTGGGCTAAAATTCCTTTGACTGAACCTTTGTAAGAAAGAATCATTACCATAGAAACTGGGATCTAAGTTTTTTGAAAATGGCTAAGTGGGACCATTGTGTTCCAGTGAAAGGAAACAAGATATCTTTATATCTTTGTAGAAAATTTTCAGGGCCTTTCTCTCTCTCTCTCTCTCTCTCTCTCTCTCTCTCTCTCTCTCTCTCT